CTTAGGAGAAGGGAAGACATGGGAAGCCACAATGGTGAGAATAGTTTATTTTGTACAGAAGGAAGTGGAGACTAGGCAGGAGCAAGCTGATTCTATGATGAATGCAGTCCGGCTGCTAGGGCGCCGGGTCCGGAGTGAAGCCAGCATGGGAATTGTCACAAACGCCTTGAGCGATTTTATGTGAGTCAGCGTTGAAAGGTGATTGGCCAGACGGTTGAGGCATGTGCGCACGTTAGCAGCAGTCAGCGTTCCCACCTGAGTGTCCACACAGAATAAGTCACCACAGATAAATAGCATTGAGTCCTGACCCCAACTCTAACTTAACCAAAACCCTGCCGTAACACCAATCCTAATCTTCCTGGAAATTAACGCAACGTCCTTAGAATAGGGCATGTTCCTCTTCCTTTATCTTGCACCTAACCCTAATCCACCTGATATTTGCCTTAAGGCCACCTGTTGTACAAGGGGTACTTATAACTGTATCTTACCTCATATTAACTCAGATTGCAATCTCAGTTCTTACCGGTAGGACAGCAAATAAGTTCGTATCGGTTAGTTCAGTCACTCTTGCCCTTGTCAATATTACTCTCTAACTGATCTTTGTGATTGCTAGCGGGAGCCCTGTAGACAAGCTAGATCTTCTACACGGTCTTGAGTCTAGCCTCGTGGGCCTCATGGCAACACAAAGCTGCCGATTTTGTCAACCATTGCAGCTGTTAGATTAACGCATTCGAATATCCCCTAGTCTGGCTGACTGGTTAATTTTCCTTATGCTGAGACGTAGTGGTTGAGGCAAATCTCACGGCCAACTTTTTCTTTCTGCGTCTTTTCGCAGGTCAAGTAACAGAGTACTGTTGCTATGGCTACTGCATCGATCTCCTGAGGCGCCTGGCTAATCGTACGGGTCTGCAAGCCAACCCTACCACTTTCACTTTTGACCTTCACCTAGTGGGTGATGGACAGATGGGCGAGGAGTTGACCGTGAATGACACCAAGGTGTGGAATGGCATCGTTGGCGAACTCGTTACCGGACTAGCTGATCTCGCAGTCGCACCCATGAC